AGCAGTGGGTTTGGTTGGGTTATCATACTTACCTGGTAGGGAACTCTGGTGGCCTAGTGGTTAGAAGCTGTGCTGCAATCCCAAAGGCATGCAGTTCAAATCCACCACCAGCTGCATTGGAGGAGGATGGACAGTCTCCTTGTGTGCAATTTACAGCCTCTGGAGGGTCAGCTGAGTCAGTTTCAACTCAGTGGCACACACCACCACCACCAGCTACTCAGTGGGGCCCTGGTGGCCTGCTACTCTGCAGTCGCACTGCTAACCCAAAGGCCATGCCCCTGGGTGGTGGGCTTAGGTGGCGTGAGTTTAGTTACATAAAGGGGAGGAGCTTGATGCTGAGGAGCGTCTCTGCCAGCATAGTTCGGTCCCACAAGCTGCTCTGAGGGAAGATGAGCGATTCCCTGTGTGATTCACAGCCTCTGAAAACCCACTGGAGGGTCAGCTATGAGGCAGCTCCAGTTGGTTGGCACACAACAACAGCTGTAACAAAAGTACAACAGGTGGGTGGTTGTGAAGAACACAGGTTTATTCCTCAAGTCGGGGTTTCTTGTCAGCTGACTCAGTACTGGCTTCAGGGACAGCGCTTCTTTTTCTGTTGCGGCTTCCAGCGGAGAAGCTCGGTTTGCTTTAGTACATCCACTCTGTGAGCCTGGCTCACGTGCCTTCTTTGTCCTGCTTCTCCTGTGCTCTTCTCCGCTCCTGACCCTAATAAGGCCTTATTAATATTACAAAAAAAAACCCCAAAAAACAAAACCCCACTCTTTTCCCTACAAGATCACATCCAGCTGTACAAGCGCCGGAATTCTGTGTATGTGGGCGGCACCGTCTGGTGTATGAGGGTGCTCATGTCTGAGATATGTCTTCTTTCCCCCAGTATTTTCCACCTTGTTTTCTGTGTGCTTCAGCCTGCATGTTTTCTCCTCTTACTTGCCCATAATCCACTTTTCATTCTTGTTGCAGGAAGCTCAAAATTTCAGAAAATGGAATTTGTTGTTGTTGTTGTGTGCCAGCGAGTCGCTTGTGACTCATAGCGACCCTACGTACAAGAGCCCTAAACGCCGTTCTTTCCTGTGCCTACCTCGCCGTCTGAGACACACTCATTCCCACCACTTCACTCACATAATCTATCCATCTCATTGAAGGTCTTCCTCTCCTGCGCTGTCCCTCCACTCTCCCAAACATGATGTCCCTCTCCAAGGACCAGTCCCTCCTTGCAACATGCCCAAAGTATGTCAGACGAAGCTTCAAAATCTTTGACTCCAAGGAGCATTCTGACTTCACCCTCTCCCAGACAAACCTGCTTGTTCTAGCAGTCCATGGTATATTCAACACTCTTCTCCAGCACCACAGCTCAAAGGCATCAATTCTCCTTCTATCATCGCTAGTCACTGTCCAACTCTCCGATGAGTTTCTATTTCTTTTTTTGCTTGACTGATTTTTTTTTTTTAAATTAAAAAAGAAAATGTCAGTCATGTATGTCTTGCCAGAGTGCTCCGGAGGCACGGATGGTGAATCTCCATAAGAGATTATGCCTCCAAGGACATCATGCTTGGAAAAGTGGAGGGGCGGAAAGGAGAGGGAGACCTCCTACCAGGCGAATGGACACAGTGACTGCAGCAGTGGGCTCGAGTGTGTCAGAGATGATGAGGATGGCACAGGACAGGGCAGGGTCCAGCTCTGCCGCTCAGAAGGTTGCTAGGAGTTACCCTCCACAGAACCGAATATCAACAATAATTTTCTGGCCAAACTTCCCATCTTTTTCAAATTAATCATATTTAAAAATTGTCGTCTTGGATAATTTTTTTAATTAAACGTTTGTAATTATTTTTTGTTTTATTTAAATTTATTATTAATACATTTCAGTAAAAATTTACAGAGACTTTGGATTTCCATTCATTCATTGTTGCACTTTTCTCCTTTCCCAATCCTCCCCCCTAGTACACTACCTTCTTGGAAAAGTAAAAGCAAAATTCTTTCATTGTTTTACAAATCCTCCCCCATATCCACTCCACTATGCAGCCTTCGCTCTGGACTCCTGTTATGACAAAAATACCTAATCACATATCCCTTTTAAACCATTTTCTCTCTCATCTGTTTCAATGTAGTATACATTATTAAACCCATCTTTCTCAGTCTCTCCCCAACCCCAAAGTCAGTCGTGTTTTATAACAGTGGCACCATGCAGTATTTGTCCTTTTGTGACTGAGATACTTCACTCAGCATAATGTCCTCCTGGGTCACTCATTTTGAATAATATTGCATGAGTTGTTTTTCAATGCAGTATAGTGTTCCGTTGTTTGACTATACCACAGCTTCTCTATCCATTCACTTGTGGATGGGCACTTAGGTTGTTTCCAACTCCTTGCTATTGTGAACAAAGCCACAGTAAACATGGGTGTGCATATATCTGCGTGGATGTCAGTTATGGTCTCTTTGGGGTATATTCCCAGTGTTGGAATTGCTGGGTCAAATGGTATCTCTATTTGCAACTTTTTGAGAAAGCGCCATACCACCTTCCACAGTGGTTACACCATTTTACACTCCCACCAACAGTGAATAAGGGTTCCAGTTTCTCCACAAGCTCACCAGCATTTGTTGCTATTCTATTAAATTTTGTTATTCTGTCTGGGGTGAGATGATATCTCATAGTTGTTTTAATTTGCATCTTAGAGCTAGGGATTTTGAACATTTCTTCATGTGTTTGTTAGCCATCTGAATGTCTTCTTCGGTGAAGTGTCTGTTCATATCCTGTGCCCATTTTTTCTATTGGGTTATTTACCTTTTGTTGTGGTACTCAAGTATTTTATAAATTCTAGATATAAGTCCGTTATCTGACATGTCATTACGAAACACTTTTTCCCATTCTGTGGCTTCCTTTTCTACCCTGTTGGAAGTTTTTGGATGTGCATAGGGATTTGATTCTTAGAAGATCCCATTCATCTGTTTTATCTTCTCCTGGTTGTAGGTGTCTAGGATAATTCTAATAATTGGCAATTTCGGAAGTTCTTTTTCATGTTTGTGCTGCTGCTTGGTCCTATTCCTTGATTTGCCTGGTAGTTTTTGGTTTTTAAATTTTTAATTTGATATCAGTTTACTTATATCAGTTTCTTTTATATACATTGCTTTATCCATTCCTCTATTCACATGATGTTTTTGTTGACATTTCAGAAGTAACATAGAGGGAATTTACCCAGCTTTGGGGGACCTAGCCTGTGGGGCCAGTCCCATATTAGCAGGGGAACTGCCATGTGGCTGGGCCACAGCTTCTGTGTAGACATGTTGCACTTTGAATCCTTGGGTGTGCTCTGGTGGTCCCACTGAAAGCTGGGGCTTCGTGTCAGGACCCCTTCTCCTGGACATCCTTGCCCTCCAGCTTCTGTCTCATTCGTGCCATGTTGTTGTTGTGTGCTGTCAAGTCAGAACAGACCCATAGCTGACCCTCCAGCAGGTTTTCAGAGGCTTTAAATCGCACAGGAGGATATTGTTCATCTTTTTCCCAAGGATCAGCTGGTGGATTTGATTCACGTACCTTTGGGATTATAGTGACGCTTCTTACCCATCTAGCTTGGTTGTGGTGGAGGCTCCTTGCTGCTTGTTTCTTACAGCTTAAAAATTTGACAGATGACATTGGGGGAAACCTCTGAATATCAAACTTTGTTCCTCGTCCCTCTTTGGTCCTGGAGGGATCGTGAGCTGAGCGGGAGACTTTGTTTACCTACCGCCTTGGTTCTGCCAGTGGAATTGGCCATGCTGGAGTCTGCCCTGAACACTGTGCCTGTTCACATCCGGCCTCGGTCTCTGATACCAGCTTTCCTGATATTTGGATCATACCTCCCTGTGCAGATGCGCTCCCTCCAAGCGCTAGCCTACCTCACTTGCCCTCAACCTGCACTCGGCCCTTCTGTTATTAATCCCTGCTCCTTTGTACCTCCTCACTCTGTTCTTCAGAACTGTTAGACAGCTGTGTTAGACTTTTTAGCCCTTGTTATTGTATTATTCCAGTCGAGTGTGTGAACTTATTAATGAGAAGGACGAAGCTTTATCTTCTGGCCCTTCTGAGACTCCAGTACAGGGACTTATACCAGGCTCACAGGCAGCCAGGGGGAGGTTCTGCAGGTCTGTAGACACAGCTTCCTGCACGGGTTCTTCAGTTCACTGAGGGGTCAGATTTTCCTGAAGTGTCTGTGAGGGAGTTCGTATAACTGCTTTAAATGAGAGTAAACAGCAAAGGCTTATGTGTGATATTGTTGTTGTTGTTGCTAAGCACTATTGAGCTTGAACTGAGTCCTCTGCCTTTCTCTTGTGGAAAAGGTGGATTCAAACTGTGTACTTTTGGGTTGGCAGTGTAAGACCTTACCACTAAGCCATTAGAGCATGATGAGAAGCAGGTTTATGTCCCTATAAGAGTCTGACTGGTCTGCAGAGGCCCAGTGGAGGGTCATTTTGCTGCAGTATCAGCCAGGAGCAGACCTGTGTCCTGGTCACTTATTAAAGACTTTTGTCTGCATGTCCTGGCAGGCACACAGCTCTCTCCAGGTCCCTTGGGAGGGGCACAGAGCAGTGGAACCTGTCACCTGGGTTTTGTGGCCACACTTAACTGTGGGTTGGCCAGGTGGTCTTGTCACCTAAGAGAAGGAAAGGGGACAGTGGGAAGAGCTAGCAGGCATGCTGAGGCACCTTCAGCAGAGGGAAGTGCTGCGGCTTGTGGTATATAATTCTGTCAGGAGCACAGGCTGCCCTAACTCCAGGGGATACCCGGGGCTAGAGCTGGTGTGAAAGTGTCCAGCTGCAGGCCCAGTCTGCCTGAGCTATGGGACTTTTAGGACTGAAACGGAGAAGTCCCCTCAAAATGATGAGGGGGGCTAGTCTCCCTCCTGGGGGTTGTGACATGAGTGGGTGGGCCTCCCAAGGAGGGAGACCAGGTGAGCAAGGTTGAGTGACAGTGGGGCCCCAGGCCTCGCTACCCCTCTACCTTGGTGACAGTGAGTTTCTCTCCCCAGATCCAGTGAGCCTCGCCTACCAGCGGGTGCAGAAAGTGGACTGCACTGCTCTGCGACCGGTGCTGATTTTGGGGCCCTTATTGGATGTGGTGAAGGAGATGTTGGTGAACGAGGCTCCGGGAAAGTTCTGCAGATGCCCGCTTGGTGAGGACTTATTTCTGTGCCTGTATCAGCCCCTGGGAAGGTCTTCTCAGAGAATCCAGGGTCTTCTCAGAAGCTCGGGGGGTGGCCTGGCTTCGATCAGGGCATGGCCCCAGGCTTTCTGTCCTGAGGAGCTTGCTTTCCGGAGGTTGACTGCAGCACTCATCACCAGTGTTGGGACCAGGACTTGCTGTGATGCCTGGCCAGGGCCAGGGTGGCCGTGTCCTGACACCTGCACTTGTACATTGCAGAGGTGATGAAGGCCTCACAGCAGGCCATTGAGCGTGGTGTCAAGGACTGCCTCTTTGTTGACTACAAGCGGAGGAGTGGCCATTTTGATGTCACCACGGTGGCTTCCATCAAGGAGATCACAGAAAAGGTACTTGTGTTTGGGGCCGCCAGCGCTGTCCGAGCCTGGTCCTTGCACTCTTGGTCTTCCCGCGTCTCTTGCTGGAGCACGTGCACCTTGTGGCCCGAGTGCGCCTTCTCTTCACTGGGCCTGCTGTCTGTGAGCTGACCACGTTGCTTCCCTGAGCTTCAGTTCCCGCAGGATCCAGTGAATCCGCGTGCACCTGTCTCCTCCCCTGGGGTCCTTGGACTTGGTGGAAAAGCTCTTTACACAGAGTTCTGAAACACTGTCTCTGTTGAACTCATGTACAGAATTTTGTTGATGGTCTTATTCTGGAGGAAGGGCACAGCCCCTAAACCTGAGTTGCTGTGTGTCTCCCGTGAGTGTAGTCAGCTCCGTTTGCAGCACAGGAGAGGCAGAGGGTTTCTGCACGGTGGGCAAGGCCACTGCTCTGGCTGACCCTGTCCTGAGTGGTCAGCCCCTCACTATGCTGCATGCAGGTCCCTGCTGGTTTGCAGGGAACGGTTGGATTGGATTCTTGCAGCTTTAGGTGCACATTGCCCAGTTGAAGTGGTCGATGTCCAGTCCGGGCTGACATGGGAAGTTAGAAAGCTTGCAGGACACTGGGTCCCCAGAGAAGCCTCTTCAGGTGGGTGGGTGGGGGTGTCACATGGTACCTGTGGCCTCTACCTCACTCCAAGGGCCCAAGGGAACCAGGGACATACTTGGGACACACAACTCCCCTCCCTCTTTAATTCTCTGGTACTTGCTTAGTCCAGCAGAGAGAAGGTTCTGGAGTCAGAGGAGGAGAAGGCTTTAAGAAGGTCCTAGTGTCTGGGCAGAGGCAGGGCAAGGCAGGACAGTTGGTTGTGACCATCCAGAACCCTACTCGGCCTTGGCTTCCAGCCTTGAATATCTTCACAGCTAACAACAGCAGGGGGATGTTTTCTTGGACAAATGACCCCTGGTTATAGAGTGTGGTCTTCATGAAAGACTGGTTTTGCTGCCTTGTTCCTCCATAAAACTATCTTGCTCTTTTATACAGAAAGGAGTTGCTGTGTGTAGTGGTAGGTGGAGCCTTTGATGGGATGGTCAGGCAGGTGGAGACGGGTTGGGGTGCCCACAGAAGGCCCCCACGGCCTCCCTCCAGGGTTTACTGCCTTGTCATCCCCTCAGAACCGGCACTGCCTCCTGGACATTGCACCCCATGCCATCGAGCGGCTCCATAACATGCACATCTACCCCATTGTCCTCTTTATCCACTACAAGAGCGCCAAGCAGATCAAGTAGGTGTCTGACCAGGAACCCTGGGAGAGGGGCTGGTGGCAGCTCCAAGCAGGGAGGGAGGGAAAAAGAGAGTGTGTGTGTGAGAGAGAGAGTATATATATGTGTGTGTGGGTGTGGGTGTGTGTAGGGTAGAAGGAGAGCAATGACTTGCCTGCTAGTCTTAATCTAGGCAGCATGTACAAGAAAGGCCCTCCCTCTCCTCCTGCTCCTCTTATGCCTTTCACCTTAGAAGATGGCTTAGAAGGATATGAGGAACTGAGGCCTGGGCTGGGTCGAGCTCAGCCCTCAGCTGGCTGGCTTGTGTTTTGTTGACCATTTACATTCACTGAGTGAAACACTTTGCTTTCCCTTGTTGGTTGGACCATCTGGCCCTAAGGCCCCTTTCTGCTCCCCCTTCCTGTGCATTTAAAGTTTCCATATTGAGGTCAGGCCAACTCAGGTGTCTGTTCACTCCGTGTGTGTGCACTAGGTCTTCCCTTTGCTGGTCAGATTTCCCCCAGGGCCCAAAGCTTCTGTCATGTTTTCTTCTGGGTGCACCCCACTTTCCACCAAAGCAGGGCCTTATCTCCATGGGAAGGGACAGGAAGGGCCTTTGGAGAGGCTGGAGGCTCAGCCTGGCTCCCTGGGTGTCTCAACAGGGAGCAGAGAGACCCCATCTACCTTCGTGACAAGGTGACCCAGAGGCATTCCAAAGAACAGTTTGAGACGGCTCAGAAGATTGAGCAGGAGTACAGCAGATACTTCACAGGTACGTGGGCATCAGGCACTGGCAGTAGCAGGGTGCAGGGTACACAAGCTTTCCAAGAAAGGGTGGAAACAGCGGTAGCCAGCACTGACCGAGCACTTGTTGGATGCTGTTGTGGGCACTTTCCATTGCTTCTACTGGAGGCTGTGGTTTCTGTCACTGCTCAGCCCAGGAATTTTACAGGTTGGAATGTAAAGGCTACTACTTAATGATATCAAGTCATGGTCCAGCCTGTTCCACTTGGATTCTTACCTGTACAGTAGCAAGTCTGCCCTCATAGCCCAATTATCATATGTCAGATAGCTCCAAGGTCCATAGCAGGTCGGGAACTGGGCTGGTGTGCCAGCTGCACAAGTGGCAGTGTCCGGCTGTCTTCCGCACAGCATCCTCAGGGAAGTGTCACAGCCAAGTTTTGTAAAGCAAAGCCACAGAATTGTCACCCTGCCTCTTCAAACAAAATTACCCTGCTCTGGCCCAGCTGCTGCTGTTTCACTTTATGGTTTTCAGCTTCCTCCATGAAGTTGAAGAAGCCCTGGTGGTGTAGTCGTTAAGCACTTGGCTCTGTGAGCTTAGCGGTTCAGACGAGCCATTCCACCTGAGAAAGCTGTGTCTGTCTGTTCCTGTAAAGATGACAGCTTTGGAGACCTGTGGAGTTTGGTACTAATGGGTCTCTGTGAATTGACAGCAGTGGCTTTTCTACGAAATGCACCACTTGTAGGGAGTGGTAAGAAGCAGCACTGCATCCCAGAGTCATGTGGTTTGAATCCACCAGCTGCTCCGTGGGAGCATATGATTCATTGCTTCCGAAAACCTGCTGGAGGGTCAGTTATGACTCAATGGCAAACAACAAAGGAAATAATACAGTGGTCATTAAGAGGAGGGCACCGTGATTTAATTATAGAAGATCTGTGATGCACTAGTTCTTCTCATGTGACATGTTGTGAAGGCTCAGCCCTGTATGCACGTGTGTGTGTGTGTGTGTGTGTGTGTGTATTTTTACACCAATGCTATCAAATAATAAGAGACATTTCTTGCCAGTAAAGTAAAATTTAAATGCAAAGACTTACCAAATGCATGCCTGGATATTTTTTAATTGGCTCCAACACATTCTGTGCCAGGTTCCTAACAACCGTTTATAATGGCTGTCCCTTTCTTTGTGTACATGCTGCATCCCAGGACAGTTTGGTCAGCAGAGCTAGTTTGCAGGCCTCTCTCTGGAGCGGCTCTGCTCCTTTGTCAGCCAAGCTCATGGGATTAAGGTCCTGTGAGCAGAGTCAGACCAAGCTTTAATCCACTGCCTTGTCTTTGTCAAGAATCTTCTCTGGGCTGTAATGCACACAGCCTATCCACAGGATTCCTGACTCTGTAAACCCAGGGGTTCCCATAGAAACGTTCTGTCCATTGCATCGTCACCATATTGTCACACTAATGGCTCTCCAGTGTGCTGGGATTCTTTCATTGGGAGACCAGTGGACAAACTCAGCCCAGGGTATTGCAGGATAGAGTTTGCAATAGATATGAGCTCTCAGTTCACAGCCATCACCTTGAAGCTGCTGGAAAGACCTGGGAGGATTTGATGGTGAGCCTTGTTGGAGCCCATATTGTCAGCGTGCTGAAAGTTTGCTTGGTGAGCAAGAGCAGCACAGCTAGCTTGAACTCCAGATGCTTCCCTAGCTTCTTGCCTATGGAGGAGAGTGGGGTGGGTAGTGTGCCAACTCCCTCAAAATAGGCAGCACCTAGGGCCTCACTCTGAGCTGGATGATGTCTGTGTTTGGGGGGCTCTTTTTCAGGGGTCATCCAGGGAGGAGCCCTGTCGAGCATTTTCACTCAGATCCTGACCAAGGTCACTCAAGAACAGAATAAAGTCCTGTGGATCCCGGCCTGCCCTCTCTAGAAGGAAGGGCTGTGTGCTTCCAGGAGCATGAACACATGGCCCCGCGCATTCCTGGGAGGAGACCCAGACACGTCTGTACATAAATGTGGAGGGGGAGAACCTAGCAAGCAATGACTCAGCCCCTGAAGCTCCGCTCTGCGGACGGGGCAGCTGCCGGAGCCCCCACCTGGACCAGCAAACCACCTTCTTCACATACGTGTGTCTGAAGACACTACCCCAACAAACACCACAAAGTACTTTCCACAGAGGGCTTCACCACCAGCCGTTCTTCAGCCAGCCGGCCGGAGATGCTGCAAAGAGAACCTTTCTAATCACAAGTTTACAAGCCTTTTTTGAAGTATTTGGTTGTTTATGTTTACTTGAACTGCTTTCCTGTTGTCTGTGTCCAGCCCTGACTCTTCCTCCACCTGCCTGTCCATTCCTCCTGTCACTTTGTCATTGCTTTTGTTCCTATTTTCTGCTTGACAACTCTGAATCCTCATGAGGAAGCTGCTTTGCTCTGGGTGGGGGGTTCTCTTCGGTGGGACCAGAGCTTTGACTCAGCGGCACCCCCCTCTTGGAATGGTGATGACTGCAGATGCCGGACCCTTGGAGGTGACAAGAGCCAGTGCCTTTGGTGCGTGGGCACAGCAGTGGTCTCTAGCACAGGGGAGGACAGTACTGGGTGGGGTGTTTCATGAACTCGCCTCGTAGACCCTGTCCTGCCTCCCAATTCCCCTCATTTCTCTCTACATGCACTTACTCTTTGCACGCTGCCTCAGTCCCCCGAGCCCCGTGAGTTTGCAGTGTCCGGCTCCGGCTGGCATGGCCATGGGTCCTCTGTAGGCTCTGTAAATAGCGAAGCCTTTGTCAGTGCAACTTTTGCAGGGTAATTCGTAACCTTTGAAATTTGAGAGGGTGATGAGAATGTCCACTCTTTTGACCGTGAAAACATTGACGTTTTCAACTTGGAGCAGGAGCTTTCAGGAGAAGCATCATGCTTTGTGTTGGCACAGTCAAAAGCCTACACATAAAGACAAAGGTCCTTTGATGGTTTGGGCTAGAGCACTCGCCTCATGGCCCACACTCTGCGAGGATGGCTTCATTTTGGGGGTCTACTTTTGCACTTTGGAAGCAGGGGTGCCCCAGCTCGAGGCTCACTGCAGCTCCTCCTTGGCTGTGTATGTTGTTATGAGGTACTGTACTGGCCCTGGTCACTGGAGTCAGACCCATGTTTAAATGTTCCTAACATTTCATTTTACCAGCAGGAAATCTCTGATTTCTTTTTTTTTTTCTTCTCCCCTTTGTAATTCTAGCACTAGAGTGTAGTTTAGTGATTACTGACATTTTTTTAAAAAGGGATCTATTTTCTTGCACAGTTGTTCAAAAGAGAAGTTTCGGTCCTCGATGCTGTCCTTTCTTTTACAGGTACAAATTATCTAGCTCAAACAGCCGAGAGAAAACTGTAGATCTGTCTCCACCCGTTCCTTTGAGAACCCCTGGGGTGTGTGTATGTAGCTCTCAAAATAGGGTGGGAGGTGATGGTACGTGTAAACAGACAGGTACTGTTCTGACAGACTGGGATTTTCTGTACTAAAATGTTACTTTGTATCAAAAGTTAAACAGACTTTAGTACAACAAAATAAAGGTCAATTTCTGTAACTTGTTGTGAATATTTCACTTCTTGCTCACTCCTTGCTCCCTCAGCATCCCTTTACTCCTGAACTTGAGACAGCTTTCTTCTTCCACAGTGCCTGGTGCGAGAGCTCCTGTTATCTTGATAATCCAAGCCCCATTTACCTACACTGACCTCTACCTTGGCACTGTCCTTCCCTCCCATCCTGTCAGTCCATCTGAGCCAGGCCTGTATGTCTATCATGACCAGCTACTGTCTTATTTTCATAAGGCTCATGTGTTTGATTTTTTTTTTTTTTACATTTTCTTCAGTAGATTTCTTTTGTAATTACAAGGGAATAGATAATTGTCCCTTTACATCACTGACTGACGGGCTTTGAATTACGTTTTACTAATTTTTCATTGTAATTTGAGTGAAAGTTTACAAAGCAGATTAGTGTTTCAATCATTCATACATGTTTTGTTTTAGTGTTTCAATCATTCATACATGTTTTGTTTTATACTATTAATTACAAAGCCCCGAATGCATTCCTGCTCCCTTCCTGTGGTTTCCATCCCTGTTAGCCCTTCTGTCATTGCCTCTCCTGGCTGCAGGGCTTTCTCCTCGGACACATGCTGCCCGGGTTCCTGTGTGCTTGGTTATTCTGAGGAGTACATGGCTCCCTGATGTCACCATCCACCTTACAGGCTGCATGTACGTCACTGCTCTTCCCTGTAATTAGATCATAAAGTCTGGCCTTTTTTATATTTTCAAGTTTTGTCCT